GTACATAGTAATCAAGGACAGATAGGTTCAAAGGATTGGATTTCCCTATATTGTTTGGGAATTACGACGTAGTAGCCTGGTATATCTATAGTCGATGAGTCAAGTGAATTATTTTGGAGATAATAATTCATTGAGCCAGAAGGAGTTCTAACAAGTATAACTCACGGCTAACTCGATATTGGGTCTAGAGGGTCACATGTATTGCGATGAGTAGAGGTTCAGATATGAGATATCCGCTAGAGCTCCTATCTTATTGAATATCTAATAAGCTGTTAGGAACGAGTTGGTACTAGGAGGGGGGGGGGGGGGGTGAATTAGTGCAGTGGTAAAATACGTTTTCAAATCAGTTCCAAAAAATCTCTTCGTACGATAAAATCGATTTCGAAAATGCTTAACTTTGAAAGTAAAGTAAGAGCGTATTGAATGTAAAGCAAGTAAGGAGGTAAAGTGGTTTGCAATAAAGATAAATTGCTCAAAGTAAAATGCAAACCAGATTTTAGAGTGGTTCGGTCATCATGACCTACATCCACTTCGTCGATTCCTCTTCCGTCGAGGCCACCGGCATCCACTATCGATCTTCCTTTAATAGGCGAAGATCAACCTCATTCTTACACCCCTCTTCTCCTTTTACCGGGTTTAGGAGACAACCCTTACAAGCACACACACTCCTCTCTAAATAGAATTCTAGCACTTAGACTAGAGGAGGATTCTTACAAGAGATTTCTACAGCATTTTTCCCCTTTTAAATTCTCTATGCTTGTGTATCTTTAACCAGGGATGAGAGGGGTATTTATAGGCTTCAAGTTAATTCAAACTTGGAGCCTAAAAAGGTATCATCCTAGGTTTCATGGGTACTGGCGGTACCACTACTGTTCTTGGGCGGTACTACCACCGCAAGATCTGGTACTAGGCGGTACCACCACCGAATAGGGGCGGTACCACCGTTGGCAACATTGCTGCCGATGGTACCACTACCCAGCCTGGGCGGTACCACCACCCAGGAATCCTGGGGTGATGTTCCCCAAGCGGTGCCACCGTCGGCCTTGGCAGTGCCACCGTCGACCAGGGTTTCAGCACCTTGGTTGGGCCTTGAATTCGACCCAAACAAGTCCAGCTTCGGGCCCAGTTGGCCCCTAACAAAGTTGATGGATTACCTCCCAATCTCAACTCTAATTATGTGCTAACTATGATTCCTAAGGTATATTCTAAGCAAGATAAGTCCGATTTCTTCCGGCGAGCTTCTAGCGATCTTTCCGATGAACTTCCGACGATCTCTCGGTAATGTTCCGACGGACTTCCGGCAAGCTCCTGGACTTCATGATGATCTTCTTGGCGAGTTTTTATGAGCTTCTTTGGCAAGCTCATGGACTTCTTAGTTGGTTCCGATAGAACTTCCGATGAATGTCCGGACTTCTGACGAACTCTCGAACTCTCAACGAAATCACGTTCTTGACTCCGGGACTTCATTTTGCTTTATGCTTTACTATCGTAGTTAATCCTGCATATATAAAAACACACTTTGATCTAGACAATTATTACTAAGCATGAATCATGTTGTCCGGCATGTCATTGATCCATCGACGCTTCTTCCGATTCTTCGGCACATCGTCCTCTCTTGCAGCCTATTGCCCAATCGGCCAATTGATCTCCGCAACTCCGATATCCTTGGCACAATATCTACTCTTCTTGGCCCGATACTCGAATCCATGGCCCGAAGCCTTCTGTCGATACATCGACCGATCCTCCGGCCCAATGTCCAATCTTCTGACACGTTTTCCTCCGGCCCAACATGATTCTTCCTGTTTTAATTGTCTCTCCCTGATCGAAGCATCCTACATCACTCAAAACACAGATTAAATCATAAACACTTATCAATTGGTTTCATCATCAAAATTCGAGATTCAACATAAGCGTTTGAATTATTGGATCCTATAGATTAGATCCAATAAGAGCCAATCAGAGATTATTAAGTAAAGATCTACTAATCTAAGAGGTTTGGATAGTTGGATGGAGATCTTGAACCCAATAGGGTAGGATCCATTATGGTTAAGTTGATAGAGGACCTCTATAAATAAGAGAGAACCAAATGATCATAGTATCATGGACTTAGCTGGAATTGCCTAAGTTGTGATGCATCCTTGCGCCAACTTCTCGGACTTAGCTGGGATTGCATAAGTCGTGAGGCATCCTTGCGACATATGCATCTGCAAAGGTTCAACTTAGTTGTAACCTCATATAGGTCTCGTAAGACATGTAAAATAGAAAATTGATTAGATTGAAAACGAGCGAAGGACAAGTCCCGACGTCTCGCAAAAAGGGAAGCTTTACAAGTAATTCAACAAGCACCTTGTGTACACAGGAGAAAAGAGATAAAAGGGGAAAATAAGGACTTTAGAAGGTAGAATGAACAGTTGCAATTCCACAAACAACTGCTCACCGGGTGCCAGGTGTGAAGGCAAGTTCCCATCAAGTTAACATGCGAACTTGTGAAGATTTTTCAACCCCCGATGATATACTGATTCTCCATCTATCCCTGTGCCACCCGGGAGGTTCCAGGGTGCTAAGATGGCTGACGTTTTATATGTAGCTGCAACTTATAGAAAATAAGTTGTGGCATGTGAAAACAGAGCTGTTTTGGGTAGTTCGACCCGGCGCGGCGAGCGGTCACGCTACAGTGCTGCAACCTGTTCGAACATGTATTTCTATAAGTAAAAACATACAAAACTAAGGCAAAACATGCTGCCATGTCTCGGTATAAGCATGCAAAAGCGATGAAAGATTCGTTGAACGAAGTTGTTGCAGGTGCGTGATGACCGTTCGTAACAATAGGCCAGGCCTTTTTTGTTGCCACCTCTTATTCTCCTCTCCCCCTCTCATTCTCAGCCAACAGCCCCTATTTGAGGTGTGTAGAGATTTGGATAGCGATTTGAGAAGCATCTTTGCAGCCCTTGCTATGTGAATCATCGCTAGAGAGGATGACAGTTGATCTCCTTCATCCTCCTATAGATCTATAGGATTTTAGAGATATACGATCTATATAGGTAAAACACATCTCTCTTATATGCGCGATTTTCGATTTTACGATTTTTATGCACCAATCTTCGCACGACGATGAAACATTTTTATGAAAATCTAGGATTTTTTTCTGTTCTTTCATTGTACATGTGATGTCACTCCCAAATTTTCCTATATATATAATGTTTCAAAATAATTGATATAAGATATTTGACACTAGATATATTATGTGCAAAATAAGAGCATAAAATTCTACATCGAAATAATTATAAATGTTTATATACATATGTAGGAAACATAGAAATTTATAAACTTCTATGCCCCATATCATAACATATACGTATATTTCTACACCGCACGCTATCATAATATATATGTATACTCCTATACCACACATTAAAATATACACATGCACTCTCACACTGTATATCATAATATATATGTATACTCTTACACCGCACGTTATAATATATATGTGCGCTCCCAAATCACACTATCATGGACAAAACTATAAATGAGGTGTTTGATGTAATGCCCATGTATGTCTATATCTTTCGGTTTTGTTGATTCTTTGCACAGAATGTAAAGAGCTGACAATAGGCTTAGCAGCCCCAAATTCTTTGGTTTTGGTGGCCATCTTAGGCTTATAAACAAAGATTGTGTCATATGAACACTTATAGGGATTTCGGTCTATAGTGAACTATTTTGAACCCTTTGTTATGTGACCGTCCAAAGTTTATGAAGTCTATTTATAATTTGTATTGGCTATGAAGTATTTGCTTAAATGATTGTTTGTGGATCGCGAGTGAAACACTTTCTCTGACTCTCTTTTATAAGTCATAAGGGACCATAGAAGGTTTCGGAAAAGCTGAACTTTACGGACGGACATGCAAAAGTGTCGTACGACTTAGGTAAAACCAACTAAGTGTATGATAGCATGTCATAATAATACGTATACTCTTATACCAGACGTCATAGTATATACGTGTGCATTACACATCATAACATATCCATGCACTCTCACATTGCACGTCATAGAAAACACGTATATATGTATGTATATATATATATATATATATATATATATGTATATATATATATGTATATATATATATGTATGTATATATATATATATATATATATATATATATATGTATGTATATATATATATATTATTTGTACTTCTATTAGCATGGTAGTTATAATTAAATGTGTGTGATACCTAGGCACTATATCAATTTCAAGATTGAGTCTGATAAATATATCATATTGATATACGGATATATAGGATCAAGGACCTCGATCCATAGCTCGTGGAGTCCCATCATTCTTTTTGGTAGTAGAATTAGGTATATCTATTGATTGATTATTTAATTTATTTGAATCTTAAAGTTTAAGTTGTATAAAAAATAATTAGTTAATTCAAATATTCTTTATAGATAATTTAATATCGATGAAAGGACGATCCAAAACATACCATAAAGCTACTCCTCAAAGCTTGAAAAAGATATACGATACTATTCTTTCCTAATTTATATTATTTTTGTTAAAATTATACTAACTTTATATTTATTTCTAACTTAAAAATCCTAATCTAACTTTTTCCCTATTGTTTAGATATTTTTGGAGAGTTTTATTTTAATGATTTTGGGCATACCATCGGTATAGCTTGGTACATCGGTACAGACCGAAATTATAATTCTTGCTCTAGAGTACTATAGGCGTAAATTCCATTAGTTGCTCTCTACACTCCTGAATCATGAAGTGCAGATCTCAATTACATGTCTTAATGTAACAAAGCTTGCTTCTCAACCATGAGCCATTTTGTTTAATCAAAATTTCACACTGATATCATGAAATTCTTGTGCTCTATCAATTCAATAACGCGCAATTGAAACTCATCCTGATGCAAATTAAATTTGGTTTAAGACTGTCATTGGTGTGCTTTTCTCCATGTGTTCTTAACAGTATTAGTTTTTGTGCAGCCAATAAGTTCTCATGGTGTGGGCAAAGTTCTGGATTCTGGGCATCCAGATTTTAAAGTAGGTGATTATGTGTGGGGGATGACGGGTTGGGAAGAGTATAGCCTCATTACATCAACAGAGCACCTCATCAAGATCAACCACACTGATGTACCTCTTTCTTACTATATTGGTATTCTTGGTAAGCTTATATTCTTCATGATGTGCAAGTATTTATGATATTATAGGTTTTTTACTCAATAACTGTATGTTAATCTTTCTGTGAGAGAACAATTTGGTTCTCATGGATGAGTTTATCTAGCTAGCAGCTATGTAGGCATGCCTGTTTTTATTAATTTATTTTAACTTGCAACAGCAATAAGTTGATGGTGAATGCATCAATTACTATATAATATAGTAAAAAAAAAATAACAATTAGATGATTATTGATAACAAATTTTAATAATCAGTTAGGAACAATTTCTTATAGTTTGACTTCAAGCTTGACACCCGATATTTGATACACACAGAACAGATGAACAAGTTTCAGTGGTACAGAAAGATTTGCAGGAGGAAGAGATGGAGTTCATTTAGGGTACCCGCACAAATTAATAGAGACTACTTTTAATTTACTTCATCTAGTTGCTTATGGCTGCTCTGTTTCAATAAAGGTGGTGATATTTAGCGTATTGTGAAATTTTTTTATATGATGACACCTCATTGGTTTTTTCTTCTTAGAATAGTTTCATAAAAATTGTAGTACGATTAAATAAAATTAATCTTGCATTTTACATCGATAAACTTTTAGCAAGGTCTTAATTGTATATACCACAGGTACTCCAGTTATGTTGTCGTCCGAGTCATGATCGGCGACAAGCCTCACGTTTTGAAGGGGTACCCATAAAAAGCATGCTATGAAGCAACTTCTTTTGGAAGTGCAAAATGAGGAACTTATTCTGATAAAAGGAATTTTTATTAAGTCATTTGGTTCACAGTAGCAATTGCAGCTTTATAACTTTCTTTAGTGATATTAGTTTCCACTTGAAAATAATGGGAGAAACCAATAGTAAAGTCTTAAGATGTCAGATGTCTTTTACTTGATGCAATCATGTGGTTTTCTGAGATAAGGAAGCAGCACTTTCAAGTAAGTATAACTACAAAGCACTTCATTTGGTGCATGATGTTTAGTCTACATTAGTATTTATCAGACCATCATTCATCTTGCTTTCAAGTTCTAGAGCAAGTGTATGATGAAAAGGAGTTGCAACCTGTAAAGGAAATCCAGGGAGAGTCAAGCTCTTCTAGAGTTCAATTCTGCATCTCCAAGAATTTGGTATCTTCATGTGAGCATGGATTTTTAGATCCATATCACTTAAAACTCCAAGTAAAGTGAAAGACATTGTTTAGGTTTATTATTAGGAGTTTTAGACACCTAAATTCATGCACTGGAATTATAAAAGCCTATAGAATCAGGCTGAAGGTCTAGTAAGCTTAACTACTCTGTTCATCACACTTCAATGAAAACATCTTTGCTATTCGGCCTTCAGGCATGCCAGGACTCACTGCTTATGCAGGATTCTACGAGATATGCTCCCCTAAGAAAGGTGAATATGTATTCATATCAGCAGCATCAGGTGCTGTTGGCCAACTTGTGGGGCAATTCGCGAAGCTAATGGGCTGTTATGTAGTTGGAAGTGCCGGCTCTGATGAAAAGGTATGAACTGATGTTCAAGTTCTGTAACATCGCTTAGTCGACTAATCGATGGCATGCATATGCAGGTTATCAGATATCAGTCAGTCTCTTGGATGTTGCAAGTTAATTTTTCCTAAACTGCATCTAAAAAAATGCTGATGCATGAAGTTAAATTGGAATTGACATTTTTGTTCCAGACCTGAATTCGATAGAGAAAAGGCAAAGTGTGGTTCAAAAGACAAACTCATGTTTTACAGAGAGATAAAAATGACAAAAAAAACTAGTCTCATGAGTCATGATTTGTTAGAATGTCTGTCCGAGTGTGCCGTGTTTTACTTACTGTTACATTTGGTAGAAGAGGCAAAAACATGTATTATTTGTGGTTCTCATCACTATTTCTACTAATAAACATCACCCTCTTCTTTTGCATTTTTCCTCAGGTCAATCTACTGAAAAATAAGTTGGGCTTTCATGAGGCTTTCAACTATAAGAAAGAACCAGATCTGAATAAAGCTCTGAAAAGGTTGATTTAGAACTTCACATATATTGTCTTTTCGCATCTCTTTTCTTCGCATGTAATGCATTATTTGCCACGAGCAACACCGAAAACATGATCGATCCTGCATGTATATGGTAGTAAAGTTGTGTCTATGACTCCTAAAGCTCTATTTTAAACAGTATGTTAATTTATTCAGTCTAAAAGAACACTTTTTTTGGTTTTTTTTTACTTAGGTGTTTCCCAGAGGGTATCGATATCTACTTTGAAAACGTAGGTGGTGCGATGCTTGATGCTGTTCTTGCCAACATGAGACTCAATGGCCGAATTGCTGTATGTGGGATGATTTCTCAGTACAACCTCGGAAAGCATGATGGTGTGCACAACCTGCTTGCCCTGATCGCCAAGTGTATCCGCATGCAAGGGTTCTTGGTATCCAACTACTACAAATGCTACAGAGAGTTTGAGGAGAAAGTAGTGCAGTACATGAAGGAAGGGAAGATTGTGTACATAGAAGACATAGCTGAAGGACTCGAGAATGCTCCTTCGGCACTCACAGGCCTTTTTGCCGGTAGAAATGTCGGCAAACAGTTAATTGTTGTCGCTCGCGAGTAACAGATTGTGAGCTTTTGGGGTAGAAATAAGCAGGTAGAGTTCTTTTTGATGCCTGCAAGTGTCGAAACATTTCTTTCTCTGAAGGAAAATCCTGTTGTGTCTTTGGTGAACGTATAATTACAATAAATGGAATCTGCAACTTTGTGTTCCAAGTCTTACAGAGAGCTGTCTTTGCTTGCTAAGTTGGCAGTACAGTTTAGCTGAGAAGAACAGCTGAAGCTTGAAGACAGTAAACATCTCTTCCTAAATTTGAATATGTATTATTAGAATGATCAATTTCAGGTCCTTTTTTTGCAGTTTGACGATGAAATAAGGAGATGTCAGAGAAGATGGCAGAAAGAATACATGCAACAAAAATTATTCCACTCAAGTATACATATTATAATTTCACCGTTTGACTAGAAAAAAGGACTTATCTTTTCTAATAGTCATATAACTCGTATTATTTATTTATATATATTACATCTCACCTATGCTTGTCACGACCCGAGTCTGAGCTAACTGACCAATAACTCCATTTTGATCCTTCAATCACGGACTAAAATGCTTAAGCGTGAGTTAACATAGTATACTCATCAGACTCATATAAACTAATTATACACATTGTCAACTTCCGATGTGGGACTAATGGGATGTTACAATATCCCCAACTCAATTAGCTTGACGTCCTCGTCAAGACCCGACATAACCCAGATAGAATCCTAGCATAGTGCATGTGAGGTTTAACTCAGTGGTGGCTCCACGCCGTGATGAGTTCTCTGACTCCATCCACGGGTAGCCCTTTCCTACTCGAGCCCTCTCACCCTGCCCAAATGCTAGGTCGGCTCTGATACCAAATGTCACGACCCGAGTCTAACGAGCTAACTGGCCAATTCTTTAAATGTCACTACCTTTCTTAAATTTAAAAGTTTTAGCTTTTATTTTGATTCTTTAAATGTTGAAAGTTTTATAGTTTGAAAAATATGTATCAATTCGTCAAAATTTTTGTATTAAAGTAATTAGTTAAAGTTTTCATAATATTCTTTGACCCATGATTAAGATTTTTATTTAGAGTTAAATATGTTAAAAATATATTTATTTTATATGATATTTCATGTATTATAGTTTATCTTCAATTTCAAATGTCACGACTCGAGTCTGATTAGCTAACTTATAGTTTATCTTCAATTTCAATCACGGACCAAAATGCTTAAGCAGAAGTTAATGTAGTACACTCATCAAGCCCATATAAGCTAATCATACATATTGCCAACTTCCGATGTGAGACTAATGAGATGTTACAATGCTTATAATTATTCAACATGTTAAGTTTGATAAGATATCCAAAACAAACATATGCCTCCTCCAATACTACTATGTGGTCACCAACAACAACATATTATGGTATAATTCTCATTTATATTATGGTATATTAAATTTCATGCAATTTTTTTGACAAAAAAAAAACATAATTCTATCCACAAAAGAATTTTCTGTCAGGTTTTTAAAAAAAAAAAAAAATATATCAATTTAGATCAATCATATCCATCCTTTTAGTATAATATATTCTAAAATGATCTCTTTTGACGAGACACAACTCATACTAAAGAGGTCTTTCCGTGGGCTGGTTTGATAAAATGATGATGACCAAAGAAGAATGAGCACAGGGGTTAGTTAATATTATAAAAAACAAAAGGTTGGGGGTTTGGTAGAAAGTAAAATATTTCATTTCCCAAAAAAGGCCATCTTTTCTGTTGTCTCCGCAGTTCTGGGTGAATTCTTCTTCCTCCTTTGGGCTCTACTTCTCCTCCCACTGAACCCATGGCGTCGCTCTCGAACACCTTCCCATCGTCCTTTTGTTCCCAATCCCGCTCTGGTTTGTTCGCCGCTCGGCCCCAAAGATGCCCCCTGTCGATTAGGAGGAGAGGGATCGCGTATGCTTCGTCCGGCTCTCCTCGTCGCTCGCTTGTCTGCGAAGCCGTCTCCGTGAAACCGCAGACGGAGATCGAACGCCTCAACATAGCTGAAGATGTGTCTCAGGTACTCTGAAACTTGCTTTCCTTCTGAACTCTGATTCGGTGGCTTGTGGTTGGAAATTTGTTGGATGAGGAAGAAAGATGAAGTCTTGCATTGTAATTTCCGTCCTTCTGCTTATCAGAATTATTTTGACTGGGTTGACTGGCTACAGATTTCTTCGTGGCAACTTGCGATGGTTGGTTGTAAAAAATAGATCTTGCTTGATGAGAAAATGGACTATATATTTTCCCCTTTTTATTATTATTATTATTTTTAATCTTGTGCGTTCTATATCTGAGTGAAAGAATAGTCGTTCTAATGCTTATATTATACCTTATGAAGATTGATTGCCTTTATTGAGATGAATCCTATCTCACATTACTTGTTTGTTGAAGAATTTAATGAGCTTCCCTATCGAACAAGATTTCTTGGTAATGAATTTTTTTTAAAAAAAAAATCTTAGGTGTTGAGGTTCTGACAGTTGAGACTGCAATATCAAGTATGATTGGAGTAGGAGATTAACGCAAAAATTGTTTTAAGAATCTTAGGTGTTGAGTTTCTGACAGTTGGGACTGCAATCTCAAGTATGATTGGAGTAGGAGATTAACGCAAAAATTGTTTTAAGAATCTTAGGTGTTGAGTTTCTGACAGTTGGGACTGCAATTCTGATTGGAGTAGGAGATTAACACAAAAATTGTTTTAAGAATCTTAGGTGTTGAGTTTCTGACAGTTGAGACTGCAATTCTGATTGGAGTAGGAGATTGACGCACAAATTCAATTTGCTGGTTCTTCGGAGAAGTTAACCAGATCTATCTATTATTAAAAAGTTCGGTCATGTTAACTAAATTATTCAGCTAGTCTCTGTGGGCAGAAAATATGACCATTTAGCATGTTTCTGAGAATTTCTGTAATAATATATAATGCGGACTAGGTTTCTTTGACCTATATGTGATGCGGATTAGGTTATTGGCACTTTTTCCATGTGCTAATTGATGAAGAAACAAGATTCATGTGAGTAATTGGAATTTGCAGACTACCAAAGCTACTCTAGATGGAGCTTCATCAAGTTAAAACAGGGTCCAACGGCTATTTTGGCATAAGATAATCTCCTTGTAAATAGGGCTTTGGGATCCTTTTTGTGACTTGGCCATGGTGATTGAACCTAAATAAGAAGGGAAAGTCTTTTGAGAAGCTTTTTATACTATTATTTAAAATTTTAAAGCAATAAACAGAAATTTCTTTGATTGTTTTATTCAATTCAGATTAGGAGAACTAGAGCACTAGTGGCATACGTATAGGCATGCTTCCGAGTCTTTAAGGCAATGCTTAGAGAATTTTTGTTCTCTCTTCCATCAATAGAGTTAGTTTAGTTAATAGTAGTCCCTAGATGTTAGCTCGTTGGAGGCTTCTTCTCCACCTCGGGGGAGCACTCATTAGAGGTGTCACTTCTCATATTTACAAAAGGGACTTCTTTTTACCAGTTCAAACAAGGAGATCCAGTCAGCCAAAAATGAAGGTGACTTGAGAGAGTTTTTACATATGCATATTTTCTATACTTTTTGAGGTGATGCTGTTTTGACCACATCGTTATGCTTTTATTTTAACAGTGTGATGTCACATTGCATTATATCTCAATCCATGAATTTATGATTTAATGCTCCCATAGACATTAACTGTTTTAAGTTGTGTTTGGTTGCTTTCTTACAGCTTATAGGGAAGACACCAATGGTATATCTAAACAATATTGTAAAGGGGTGTGTTGCAAACATCGCTGCCAAACTTGAGATTATGGAACCTTGTTGCAGTGTTAAGGATAGGTACATTGTTCATTGTTTATTCTTATATTTTTCCGAGAAAATGTCTAAATATCTATGATGCTAATTTTTCAATTCATCTTCAGAATAGGGTATAGTATGATAGCCGATGCAGAGCAAAGGGGGGTTATAACTCCTGGGGAGGTAATTGGCTTTTTGTTCTTCTTTTCTTTGCTTGCTTACATATTTTTTTCCTTAAGCTAGTACTTATTTGCAGAGTGAAGGAGCAGTAAAAATGAGCAGGCTCTGATACAAGAGATTTTCCCATGGATTGATTGGTATAGGAACTTAAGGTTATCAGTAGAAAATTAGAGAAAAGTCCAATTCACCTGTAATTGCCTTTAATAGGAGTTGAACATGAAGTTGCAAAAACTAATTCAAATTTGCAGTATTTTTGGACAAGTCTTGATGGACTTTTTTCCACCAGGTCCTTCAACTGCCATTTATAATAGATAGAATAGTCAAGTAAATCATTTAACAGAATAGTTATGGAATTAACACTAGCAATTAAGGAACTAATTACAGAAATTTCATTGCTGAAAATTGGATATGGCCCTGGTATCCTGCAAAATTGTGCTGGATTAATTTTAGTTGCTGTAGATTTAAATGAATCTTCACCAGATACTTTATTTACCTTAGTTTTTTGGATACTCCAGTTTTTTCAGTTTCCTTGCCTTTTTCTCATGTTTAAACTTTTTGTTAGAGGACCTTATTTTAGTCAATCTTGTAAATCTGTCTCTTCAATGTCATTCCATTGTTACTGATTGATTTTTTTCTATTTTTTGCTTCTAAAGAGTATATTGGTGGAACCAACAAGTGGTAACACAGGGATTGGTCTTGCGTTCATTGCTGCTGCCAAAGGATACAAACTGATATTGACCATGCCTGCATCTATGAGCATTGAAAGACGAGTTCTGCTGAAAGCTTTTGGAGCAGAACTTGTCCTCACAGATTCTGCCAAGGGCATGAAGGGAGCAGTTCAAAAGGCAGAAGAGATCTTGAACAATACACCTAATGCTTATATGCTTCAACAATTTGACAATCCTGCAAATCCAAAGGTCACATTCTACCATGATTCTTTTACCCTAGTTTCATTTTTTTTTTTTTTTTTCAAATTCTGTATATTCTTGTGCAGATACATTATGAGTCTACTGGTCCAGAAATCTGGGAAGATACAAGAGGGAAGGTGGACATTTTTGTAGCTGGTGTTGGGACAGGTGGAACTATATCTGGAGTTGGTTGTTTTTTGAAGGAAAAAAATCCTAACATCAAGGTTCTTTTTCCTTTCTATTTTTCTCTTACCTTTTTATGCTAAGTTTATCTTTGCATATGGAATTCCTAAGTCTTGGTCTTGCTCGTTTCCAATTTCTTCAGGTCATTGGCATTGAGCCTTCTGAAAGCAACATTCTTTCAGGGGGAAAGCCTGGTATAAGCTAAGATTAAGTGGATCTAACCTGTTTTCTTTCAATCTTTTGTTTTATCCTGATAACCAGAAACTCTTATAATGTAGGTCCACACAAGATTCAAGGCATTGGAGCAGGTTTTGTACCAAGGAATTTGGACCTTGAAGTAGTTGATGAAATTTTGGAGGTATGAACTTGTCAAACTGCTTGTAATATTACTTGTTAGTGTTGATGTCAATGCTTCCATTTTTTCGTCTGTTCACAGGTGATATTCTTTCCATGTATTTTCTTAATATTCCAAATTTAGGGCTAGATGAGGTACTCTTAATGATCTGAATACTTGGTGAGCCAGCTGCCCATCACGGATTGGTTCATTTGTTAGTCAGTGAATCTAATTCAACCTTTTCAGAGTCCATACCTATTTCCATTAATTCATTAAGCTTTTAACTTCTTTCCTCAAATCATAATTTTCTTCCTTGTCAGGAGACTCAGTACTACAGAAACTTATTTTATTCTTAAATTGTATTTTTTATGTTCTTAATTTTAAGATTAAAGGACTACAGTCTGGATGCTTCTGAATTTGCACTGGCAAATATATGCATGTATATCTATGTATATGTAAGTAACATGATAGGGGATGAGAGATATTTAATTAAGTGAAGGGTCAATGTTATGTCATATGGAGGATATTACACTTTTAACATGAATCTAATACAAAGCAAAGTTACAAGAAAGAAAGTATTTGAGTATCTGCTTCATAGCTTTTGATTAATGGATTTTAAAGAGAGGAAATATATAGAACCATTTACAGAAAGGTTGATAAAGCTTGAAGTTGTATATAAATAAGTGGGAAGCTGGCAATTAGTTTCATGCATGTGTAGTTTATCATGCTTCTTTTCTTCTTTAGGGAGTTCTTTTAGCTCTTATTTTCAATTTTATAATTATTTTTCTCTCCAACTCCAACACTCAGAGTCACAAGTATGAAACAATAACAATGATTTTATATGACCCTCCTGTCAGATTTTCTTCGATTCAAGGAAAAGAGAGGAAAGGAAGAGAGATTACTACTAAATTGAAGTTAAATTAGCTGCATAAAGTAACAGTTGAGTATTTAATCACGAGATCTAGCCTTACCAGCATCTACTTTTATAGTGTTCTGAGACAATCTATTAAAGGAGAGCTCTGAAATTCATCAAATACTACTCTGATTATATGCTCAATTTGCCTTACTTATATGACAACTATAGAACGACTCAGATACAAAGACTCAAAATTTGTCAGATATCAACTATACCAAGCTAGATCTAGGAATCACGTCATATCAGTCATCAATAGTAAAAAGGAATTTGTCATTCCAGATGTTGCTGTTGAAATTGGTTTCCTGTTGTTATAGTAGTTAATTATTAGTTATAGTAAGTTAGGTTTAATATTTTAGCTCACAATTTGACCTAGAGAACACAAATCCTTCCTATTCAAGCTGTTGATCTATTCTTGACTTTCTCTGGTGATGGCCAAATACAGAAACTATATTTGATGAATTTCACAAAGGTTAACTTGATAAACATAGGCTTAAAGATTTAGGCAGCTAATAAGCTCATTGGCCATGTGTGTAGTGTTTTTTTTAATCATTTGTGCTTATTTTACAACAGATATCAAGTGATGAAGCTGTTGAAACTGCAAAACAGTTAGCACTCCAAGAAGGATTGCTGGTATGCATAGTTTTTGTTTGATAAGTTTGATTCAGGTTCTTGATGTACTACATTGTTTATTTTTATTGCATTTTCATGACCATTCTAATAAACATTTTGAGTATCCTACCATGGAGGCATATCACTGGTATCTCATGTCATAGTTTCATGGTGTTTTCTTGCTGGTAAACTTACTGAAGAATGAGCCAATAGTTATTGAAAAGTTGTGATTGATTCAGTTGATGCTTTAGGCATGTTGAATCTTTACCTTCCATTATGCTTGCAGATCTTGTAAAGTTTCTTGCTGACTATGTGACATATTCCTACTTGATAATTGTGATTTTAAACAAGGATTTAAAAACCAAACAACTAGGCCGTACCAACCGGTATTCATAGGTACGATCAAGTTTCGGCATCTGTACCAAATAATTTTGTGCTGTCAGGACTGGATAATTTTGTGCTCTCATTTATAGTTATCATAACCGGATCAAAAAGTGACCTGTTCAAGCGTTGGGTTATTGGGCCACTGATCAGATCGGTGGGTCAACTGGTTAAACCTCATGTTTAATTAAAAAACATTTTAAAATTATAAATATAAAAATATAAAAATTATTTTTTCTAAAAAAATGATTTTATACAAATAAAAATAAAACTTCAGTTGCATTAAGAATGACAAAAATGATAGCATCAATAAACATTTAAACATAAATGTTTATCCATAGCATATAACAAAATATAGTGTAGAACCAGTCAAGGTATGCAATTTCGAATAATACTGCTCGGTGCGGGCGGTACGTACCGGTCCGTCAGCTAATCGGTATATGGACCGTCCGCTACCGGATAGAACGATATATATATATATATATATATATATATATATA